TTAACGATTTCTTCTTCAAGGGAAAAGACAGCCCTGATTCGTAGCATTTGTCAAATCTATGGTGTAAATACTTTCTCTATGACTGATATCAAGTTAACATTTTTAACAATCTGTTTGTAAAGCTCCTGAAAACTTAAGCTCCTGAAAACTTAACAATCGGCTCTTGTGAGCCTGTAAAAGCTGGTTTTATTTCTATAAGTGCATATGATATACCCGATTGGATTTCATAAAAAAGAAAATAGAGAATGAGGTATTTTTGTTAATTGATGTATTTTTAAAATTTGTCAATAGAGGCAAAAATCCCCACAAAACAAAACAAAACAAAACAAATGAGTGCTTTAAGACTTTAGAAATTTTGAATAGGTTTGGGAAGGTGCAATAATCACCTGAAGAAATCTGTAACTTGTTCTCCAGGTCTCCCGACTTTAATGAGAATTTACTCTAAATAAATACCTAAATGGTTTTAAAGTCACATGGTTCCATAATAACCAGTGGGAAAGAATCAATCATCATAGAAAAGTAGAGATGAGTTACCTCTTTAAGCAAAGCTATTCCATTTGATTTACATAAAATTTTCTTTCGTGTTTTTTTTTTACCTTTTTCTTTTTGCCAAATTTTATTAGAGCAATTATATAAAATGCTTCAATTAGATTCAGTAATGGAGGGCAGAATCCCTAAAGACAAAATAGTAGGTGGTTTTCTTTCTTTTTCTTCAGTGAGCCACTTTTAAACTATTCTCTTGAAGCTTTGAATTTCTTCCAACTCTTGGTTAGGAAAACTGGCAGTGCAGAAAGCAGCAATGACTATTAACTCATCAGTGCCATTCTTCATCTGGCTGGCATGGATCTGTGTTCTGGCATGATCCTGTTTCTGCTGCATTGCTCCATTTGAAGCATTAAAATGGAGGTGCCAAGTATATCGTCTTGATATTCTTCCTAAAATAGTTTTAGCTTGATTGTTCTGGCCTACCTATGTTGATAATTATTCTATTTGTGGACACTGTCGCAATAATTTTAAGACACAGTCTTAAGATCTTTAGGTGGAAAGAAAGGAGTTGCTATTGTTCACCCTAGAGATTTCCTTCCATTTGTGGAAATTCTACATGATTGGTAACCATATAATGGCAGAACATTGATACATACGTATGTTAAGAAAAGCTTTCTATATGTGAGGTGTTGCTATAAGTTTTATTTTTTAATTTTATTTTTCTTTAAAAACACTTTACTGGGCAGCCCGGGTGGCTCAGCGGTTTAACGCTGCCTTCGGTCCAGGGTGTGCTCCTGGAGACCCGGGATCGAGTCCCACTTTGGGCTCCCTGCATGGAGCCTGCTTCTCCCTCTGCCTGTGTGTCTCTGCCTCTTTCTCAGTGTCTCTCATGAATACATAAATAAAATCTACAAAAAAAAAAAAAAAGAAAGAAACTTAAAAAAAAAACCCACTTTACTTTCGTATGGAATAAACTTTTGCAAAAATCTAATTTTAAGACGAGATTGATTTATATTTGGAGGTTGATGTATTCGGACCAGTAAATTATTCTATATTCCAGAATGCAGCAGTGAGCAATTATCTTTTACAATCTGACTTAATAAGGGAATTCATGCAGGGGAAAATTTGAAACTGGAAAGGGCATCTGCTAAATGCTTATAACCAAGAAACTGTAAAAGGAACTTACATTTGATTTAATACAAGATAAAAATATACAAAAGAAAATGTAACACTTCAGTGGCTTATCATAGAGCAGACTTCAAAAATATGCCTGAAGAGAAAATGGATTCAATAAAAATTATTTTCCATAATTAATAAAGATACAGTGTAATAATTTTTATAATTGCTAATGAGTCTACATAATTTGAGCTGTTTCAAGGTTACTCACTAGAGTCGCTGCATTGTAAAAATATGTGGAGAAAGCTAAAATATTATTTTCTAAATTCCTTCTCAGTTTTGATTCCTTATAAAATATGTAAAAGAAATGGAAACTTTGTGGTAATGGATTACCAAAATAGGTCAAATAGCAAAAAGGTATAAGATAATGGTTTAACAGAATTTGGTATCCCTTAATGATGCAAAATATGATTTGGGGGTAGCACCTGAAAAGAGATTGGGGGGGGGGGGCTTCTAGGTGGCTCAGTGGTTGAGTACCTGCCTTTGGCTCAGGTTGTGTCCCGGGGTCCTGGGACTGAATTCCATATCAGGCTCCCCATGGGGAGCCTGCTTCTCTCTCTGCCTGTGTCTCTGCCTCTCTCTGTGTCTCTCATGAATAAATAAATAAAATCTTAATAAAAGAGAGATTGTGCTTTCAAGATTCAAAATTATGTTTTATATTTTTTAGAGATAAAAATGATGTTTTAACAGCTCACAAAGTGCCTCATCATGAGTCCATAAAGAATAAATCTTATATATACGAATAATTTAAAACCCAGTGGATTCTGTCAAAAATCAACATTCTTGGGGGTGTGTAGGTGGTTCAGTGGTTAAGTATCCAACTCTTGATTTTGGCTCAGGTCACGATCTCAGGGTCCTGAGATCCAGATGTTGGGCTCTGTGCTGAGCATGGAGCCTGCTTAAGATTCTTTCCCTTTCTTTCCCTCTGCACCTTCTCTCTCAAAAAAAGTCAACATTCTTATAAACTGCCATGCTAATAGTACATATTTGTGTGTGACTATATATGTGAGTGTGTAAAACACCTCTGGATGTTAGCTAAAATGTGCCTATAATATTTTAGAGATTGGTTATAGAAAGGAATACTTTGGAAGCTGATTAATCTTTATAACAAAATATAACACAAAACGTATTTATTCTTTTGTGATAGTCATTTTTTCTTAAAGACTTTGTTGAAATAGTGAATTTTTAAAAATATTTTATTTATTTATTCGAGAGAGAGAGAGAGAGAGAGAGAGAGGGGCAGAGACACAGGCAGAGGGAGAAGCAGGCTCCATGCAGGGAGCCTGAAGTGGGACTCGATCCTGGATCTCCAGGATCACGCCCAGGGCTGAAGGTGGCGCTAAACCACTGAGCCACCCGGGCGCCCAATAGTGAATTTTAATACAAAAATTTTGCAAGTTACAAATAATTATTTAAGAGATTATCAATTCAAGTTGGTTATAAGAATTATACTTAAATTTTATAGTAATGTTGGAAACTTAAATTTTCTCTGAATTTGTTGGCCAAAAATCTAACTTTTTGAAGAGAAATGAATTGTTATAAGTGTGGAGTTCTGTTCAGAAACTTCGAGAGAAGAAAAATGTTCATCTAGGAGATAAGATTTCATGTTCACTGGGAGAGTTGTGTTAACAGTATGGTTAAGGATAATCTTCAGTGTGAATGGTAGGTTATTTTACTTTTTAAAGGGAAAATGCAATTTTGGCTTAAATTATACTCCATAGGTTTTAGCTTTTATGACAATACTTAGATACAGTAAGGCTTAGTATTGGAATGGTTTTGAATAATGAGACATCCGTTTAATAAATATATTTTCCATTACAAATCTTACTTGTACTTGCTAACTGCTTTCAGGATGTCTAGAGAGTAAGAGGAAGGGAGAAGAGGAATGGGTAGCTGGGGTAGGTGATACAAGTAATATTGAAGGAATTCTATTTGAAATAGAGGCAGTATAGAAAAATAATGGAAAGAGAAAGTGTTCAGTCAGTGCGTTACAGGCTTTTCACTGCCTGGCATACTTAAGCATTTAAAAACTGGCCATTGGAAAAGAGTATCTGTGTACTTAAAGCTGGACTTAGAGAAAGGAAGCAAAGAATTCGGCAAGAATGGTGGCCTGTCAGGAAGGCAAGGGTTACTTGCCTTAACCCCCAGAGGGGTCACAGCCAGGCAGGGAGCAGCAGGATTGAAGCGGAAGAGATTGGGGCACCTGAGCAGGCCATATAAAGGGAGGAGTTTCAAAAGCTGACACTCGGGTTTGGAGAACTTCTTAAGACAGCTGTCATAACGCTGAGGAGTACCTTGCTCGTGACTGGACTGAATGTGTGTGTGTGTGTGTGTGTGTGTGTGTCTAGAAGACAAGCCATTAATGCTAAAGCAGACGTTAGGAGTTGCTAAGTGTATCTGGAATCTATTAGTACCCGCCAAGCTGGCTGATCGCAGTTAATGATTGCTCAGAAGGGCTGGGAAGCAACTCCACAAAGAAAGGAAATGGTGGACCTGCCTCCAGGATTCCCGCATTCCGGGCGAGCGGTGTCCGAAGTTGCCGTCGGCTCCTCGCGCTCCCGGGGAGGAATGCGGTTCCCGCCCCCCCCCCCCCCCCCCCACGGAGGAGATGCCCCTTCCTCGGCGGGGGCGAGCTCGGTCCGGGTTTCCTGCAGGTGACAGCTCGGCTCACACCGGTCCGTTTCCTTCCTCTCTTGTTACGGCAACACCTCAAAAGGAATGCTGAAGGATCTGCCTCTTTTAATGGTTTCCTGACAACTTATAAAATCAAAATCCTATTAAAAATAGGATCGGGGCGCGTTGCATTCACATTTGACATTTTGGGGACTCCCAAGATCACCTTACCAACCAAGACTTTTAATAAAACACGCAAGCACACACACAAATCTCCGACGACGTAAACCCGAGGATTCGCAAGAGGCAGCTCTGTCAGGATTTCTCCCAGGTGCAGGACGCCAGAGGCAGGAAGGGGGGAGGACTGGAGTTACCTTATCTGAGGGGTCTCAGGGAAGAGAAGGGTGGGGGGCGCCCTTCCCTTCTCTCCCCTTCCACCTCGGAGGCGGAGATGCGAGTGGCGGCGGCGCGGCGGCGGGGCCGTCCGAGCACCGCGGGTCTGGCGGGAAGCGACCCGGCGCGCGAACCCGCGGAGTGGGAGACCCTCCCCCGGGGGGACGCTGCCCGCGGCGGCCGGGGAGCGCGGGTCCGCCGCGATCCCAGGGTGCACCGCGCCCCGCCCCCTCCCCTCGCCGCGTCCCGCCTCCCCTCGGCCCGGGCCCCCTCCCTGCCGGCTCCGGGAGGCGGGGACGCGGCGTCGGCGGCGGCTTCTCCAGTCGCGTCTTTCTCACTCACTGAGGAGCCCGGCGGTGGCGGCGCCTTCGGAGGCAGCGCGGCGGAGCTGCGAGCCCGTCGGCCAGCCGGTTGGAGGTCGGCCGGGACTAAGGGCGGGTTCGACAGACGGACGGACAGCGGAGCAGCCGGACGGCCCGAGTCGCCTCAAGTTCCGCCATGAGCTGGGGCACGGAGCTGTGGGTGAGTCCGGGTGCGGGGCGCCCCGCCGACCGTCGGCGGCCCGAGCGCCTCGGGCCCCACCCCCGCCCCTGGCGCCGGCGGAGGGCGGGGGCTCCGCGCTCCTTTGTGTGCAGCCCCCCGCCCCTGTCGGCCGGGATGGAGGGGCTGCGGGCGCGCGCCCGGCCTCTGCGCCGCGGAGGGCTGAGGGCAGCGCCCGGGACGGCCCGAGGAGCGGCCCGAGGAGCGGCCCGCGGCCCCTGCGTCCGCCGCCATCCCCCCTGTTCGCGCTCTCTCCTCCGCCTTCACTTTCCGGACGCCTGGCTCCGTGCCGGGCCGCGCTCCTCTTCCTTTGTATCTCCCCGCCCGGAGGCGGGGGAGGGGGTCCATTGTCCCGAAGGGGCGCCGTTCGCCGGCAGGGAGGGGGCCGGCCGCGGCCTGCGGCCCGGGCGGGGGTCCCCGGGGCCAGGGCGTCGCCGGGCCGGGACGGCGCGGGGAGCCTCGAGGCGCCGCCCACCGCCGTCGCCCCAGGTAGGGGGAGCCCGGCGGCTTTGTTCGGAGCCCGGCCTCCGGCCAGCCAGGCCCAGCCCACAAACCCGCTTCCCTCTCCCAGTGCGTGTGCTCGGAACCCGCGCGCGGCTGTGGGGACTCCGGGTGGGCCAGCCCCCGCTGCCGCCTTGGGCTGGGGCGCCGGGGACGCGGTTGCCTTTCGGAATCTGCCTTAAATTGATGGATCGATGGGAAGCCAGTTTTGCTAAAAAAATAAAAAATAAATAAAGAAAAAGAGCGTGGGGCTTCCCAATTGCTTTACTTCCCCTTCCGCTGTTCTTTATCCTCACCGTTCTCCCCGCTTTGCTTTCTTTCCTTCTTGCCTTGCTCGGGCGCTGAAGGCTTCAGACAATGCCCAGCGTCTGGCCAAGTGGCCAAGGTGCGGTTGGACTGTAAGGGGTCGGGGAATTCGCTCGCGACGCAGCCTCGCCAGGGTGGAGGTGTGGAGGGCAGTGATTTCTCAGGTGCAGGCGAGGGACCCGGGGCGTGGGGGCGCTGTCCCGAGAGCTGCCTGGCTTCAACCACTCCCCTTTTTAGCCCACCTGTGCACATTTTCCGTGCCTTTTGTTAACGAGGGTTTTGTGAAACCGCTGCAGCGAAAGGGTAGAAAGAACTTTTTTTCCCTCGACGGGAGCAGTTGGGGTGCGACTGAAGGTAGATTGGTTAATTGAAGGGCAAAATGGTTTCTTCGGTCATTTTTCACCTTTTACTCAGAGATTGGGAATCTTAGAACTGAAAGAGACTTTATAGAGTTCAACTGGTTGAACACTTAGCTAGCTCAGGAATCTCCCGCAACATTCAGGACAAGTGTTTGCTTAGTCTGTAAACACACCACCCAAGAGAAAATATCTCAGACATCCGTTTATTAGATAGCATTAATTGTTCTTATATTAGAGAGGATTATCTAGTAAGTGAATTATGTAAAATTTGACCTTACCCTTGAGATTCTCAAGCATTATTGGTCTTTTGATTTTGTACATTTTAGAATTGGTTATACTGCGTCATCAGTTAAAGTAGATGGGTATAGTTTTATTTTCCATTTTTTATAATTAGAAAATATAGATTTTTAAAAAGATTTTATTTATTCATGAGAGAGAGAGAGAGAGAGAGAGAGAGAGAGAGAGAGAGAGAGGCAGAGACACAGGCAGAGGGAGAAGCAGGCTCCGTGCAGGGAACCCGATGTGTGGGACTCGATCCTGGGACTCCAGGATCAGGCCCTGGGCTGAAGGCAGGTGCTAAACCGCCGAGCCACCCAGGGATCCCTAATTAGAAAATATTTTTATTTTTACGTGCTTAAATGATCCACGTTTCAGAGGAAGCAAAAATGTACTTAGAATATTTTTTTAAAGTACACATAGGAAGAGTAATTTAGATTGAACTTTTAGATTTAAAAAGCACTTCCTGTCATACTACAGAAAAACAATTTTGAGAAGAAACAAAATATTTTAGTGAAAATTAAAATGTGATTTTTGAAAGTTTTTTGTTATAATTTAAAAATTCAATAGTTTCTCAGCAACTTGGAAAGGTAAGTTGTAGAAGAGATGGGGATCTCTCCTCTCCTCTCCTCTCCTCTCCTCTCCTCTCCTCTCCTCTCCTCTCCTCTCCTCTCCTCTCCTCTCCTCTCCTCTCCTCTCCTCCCCTCCCCTCCCCTCCCCTCCCCTCCCCTCCCCTCCCCTCCCCTCCCCTCCTCTTCTCTCCTCTTCTCTCTTTCTTTCAAGATTTTATTCGTTTATTCATGAGAGAGGCAGAGACGTAGGCAGAGGGAGAAGCAGGCTTTCCGCAGGGAGCCTGTTGTGGGATTAGATCCAGGACTCGGGATCACGCCCTGACCTGAAGGCAGAGGTTCAACTGCTGAGCCACCCAGGCGTCCCGAGATGGGGATTTCTGTTACCTAAAAAATTGTTTTGTATCCTTTTGAAAAATATGAAAAAAGATTTTAACTATTAAAATTTAATGCACCATGTTTTAAACTTTTTAGTTGTTTTAGGATTTGAGGGAAACATTATTAGAAGTTGATAGAGAATCAGCTAGTATCATCTGGATGCTTAAACCTCAGATAAGTAGAAATTGGTGTAGAGGGCTATTGTTAGGACCAGGAGAGATCTTAGAAATATTTCACTGGACTTCCTGTTTTTACTGTTCTGTTTTGAATAAGGATATTGTGCTTCCAGGGGATTGTAACAAACACCTACACTGTGCTCTTGTCATTGATGAATCTGAGGTTGGGAGAATTCTCTTGATATTCTGAATTTAGAAACCAGTTCTGTTATTTCAAGTTTAGGATCACATTACTATCCAAAAGGTTTAATTACTGGAAACATGTTACAAAAAAATGATGAAAGCAGTTATGCACTCAAACTAAGTTTCTTAATTATATTTATAGGAGTTTCATTGCTATTTTTTTTTAAAAGATTTTATTTATTTGTTCATGAGAGACAGGCAGAGACATACGTAGAGGGAGAAGCAGGCTTCCTGCGGGAAGGCAGATGCAGGACTCCGATACTGAGAACCTTCCTGGGATCCCTCCTGGGATTCACGCCCTGAGCCGAAGGCAGGCGCTCAACTACTGAGCCACCTAGGCCTGCCTTCATTGCTATTTTGATGCTTCTTAAGTCTTATGTTAAATTTGAGAATAGGGATCCCTGGGTGGCGCAGCGGTTTGGCGCCTGTCTTTGGCCCAGGGCGCGATCCTGGAGACCCGGGATCGAGTCCCACGTCGGGCTCCCGGTGCATGGAGCCTGCTTCTCCCTCTGCCTGTGTCTCTGCCTCTCTCTCTCTCTCTCTGCGACTATCATAAATAAATAAAACAAAAAAAATTAAAAAAAATAAATAAATTTGAGAATAAAATAAAGAACCACTTTAATCCTGACTCTAGGGGACAGGACTAATAGTGATAGATTAAGTGGGTTATGTTGTACTGTGTGGTTGTGAGGGGGTATGAATTAACTGGCAGTAGATTTGAGCTATGCTTCAAGGTATTCCAGGTGCTCCAAATGCGCATTTAAGTAAGCTTGTATATATGCTAGATACTCAGTTCTGAGTTCTGGATAATACCAAAGAGGTGACAGTGTCTTCATTATTTCCTCAGGCTGTAACATAATTATAAGATAGTATCTTAAGTGTTGTTTATTGTGTTGATTTTTTAAATTATCACGGGAAGAAAGACTGGATCAAAAAGAGGCCCAAGTATGAATCAGTGATTTCACAAAGCAATGATTTTATAATTATTACTCATTTTACAAGTAAGAAAATTAGAGATTGGAGAATTTCTGTGTTTAGTCAATACATTTTATTTATTAGGAGATACTTTTTTGTGTTTTGAGGAGCTAAATTTCTCCAGGAAAAAAAAATCCGTGTATGGATTGTGTGTGTATAGTTATGAAAAAATATGGCTGAGCACACTACTTTCATATCATGATTTATTAAAAAATTTGCTCCCCAAGGGAAATGAGGTGATTCTTCTGGAAGTTAGAAGGTAGCTTCCAATATCTGACTTAATTTATAGGTTCTTATAAACCTTTTTTATGCCTTAGTTTCCTGGTCTATGTGATTTTTTTTTTTTAATTTTTATTTTTGGCCCTTGGTTTTAAGTAAAAGCCATTGTTATTTTCATTAAGTTATTAAGTGCATTTGACAAAGGTCATGCTCTTTTTGGAAGAAATTGAAAAATTTGAATTGGATGATAGATTCAGTGGATACCCTCAGTCTTTTTTTAAAAAAATACTTTATTCATGAGAAACACACAGAGAGAGAGAGGCAGAGACATAGGCAGAAGGAGAAGCAGGCTCCATGCAGGGAGCCAAACATGGGACTCGATCCTGGGTCTCCAGGATCAGGCCCTGGGCCAAAGGCTGCGCTAAACTGCTGAGCCACCGGGCTGCCCAGATACCCCCCAAGTCTTAATCCTTAATGCTTCTTTATCTTTGTCCTCATAGCATTTATATAGCACTTCTGTTTTATTTAATACCTATGCTGTAAGTGTACTAGACTTTGGAGTCTTGGAGTATAGAACTGAATTAATCACTGTTTTCACAGACTAAAACAATGCCTGTAGGTGATCATGCATATTTTGACCAATTGAATTAATCGTTCATTATCCAGAGTATTGATCACTGATTAAAAAGTGCATCTTGGAGGAAGTCATTATGGTTCTGAGGGCCTTTGCAGATGGATAGATTAAGTGCTTTAGATATCAGTTCAAGAATGTCTAAATAAATTGAAACCAAAATTATGAAGTGAAGGTTTAGTGTTTGGGTTAAAAACTTTTATGGTTGGGGAAGAACTAGTAAAAAGCTAGTTCTTACGACTTTACCTGACTCCTAGCTCTGTGATGTGACTGCAAAAATAGCTGATGAAATCTTAGACCACATTAATAGATTTGTCTAGAAGAAAGCAGTGTGATCCCATTGTAGTCTGTAGTGGTTAGACTATCTGTAATATTGACTGAATGTTACTTCAGATTTTTTAGAAAATCT